AGGGGGGTGGCCTGTTAATTACCACCCCCTGGACAAACAGGCTCTGTTTAAAGCATTTTATGCAATGCGTTGGTTCATACACCCCCACAATCTCCATGAGTAAATTCCTTCTCTCACAGAGAATACTGATAGGGGTGGGGGAAGAGACTCCCTGATGCTATAAAAAGAGTCTGAGGTCCTCAGAGTTGGCCACAGGACTGCCAGATCACACCTGTACTCTCTATGTGGGGCCTGGGCTGAGTGTGACACCCACAAAGGACCCAGACCAGCAGGCTGGGAGTGGAACCCAGTGTTCTCTGGATGTCGCAGGCTGCCGGGTCTGGTTGGAAGGACGCGGAGAGATAGGTGTACACACAAGTGTGTAAGTGAGGGGAGAAATATAATGAGGATGGCTAGGAAGGCCATGGCGAGGTCACTCTGTGAATACCCGCTGGCATCCGGAGGTTAGTCCCTTGAGGGCTGGTTCGTTCTCCCACTCACCATCTAGCCCAGGAAGTCAGTGAGGCCCAAGCACCTCAACAGCTTTGCTAAGGATTGCAGGCCATGGGGGGTGGCAACGGGACTCCCCAGTGAGTCTCAGTGGTGAGGGGGCTTTGGGCTGCAGAGACCTCAGGGACATGGGACGAAGCCTCGGGTACCTAAGAATTCTAGGAGCTCTGGACTTCCCGCCAACTGGGCATCCTTGGAGATGCAGCGCAGAATTTCATCAAACATGGCTCTCCTTTCCCGAATGTCAGACTCCCCGACAAACAGGACCTTCCTAGGCAGCGGGGGCAAGCTGGCTGCTGGGTAACGATTGCTCAGTTTCTGGTAAAACTCCTCGATCTCGCTGTATTTTTTGGAGACCTGGAATGAGAGGAGTATGGGGTTGCCTGAGAGAAGAGCCAAGGGTAAGAAACTTCCTCACCCTGACTGACCAGATACGTGCCTGGAGCAGGCCTGCCTGCTGCCCCTCTGTATTCCTCCAGCCTCAATTTCTGGTCCCCAGAGAACTCTCAAAGTCCCAAAGGAAGGATGCGATAATGAAGAGACCTCAGGTACCACTGCAGGTTTATGTAAAGGCCTTTATCAGGGACCTACAGGGCCTGCAAATGACCCTGGTCTCCACCTATTCCTGGCTTTCTAAACCCTAGCAGAGCGAGTTCGGCACCTGGCAGGTGACGGGCCATCTTGTGACAGCATTGTGAATCACCTTCTCACAGTGCAGACATCTTGTTCATTCTCTGACTTGAACTGGCCTTCTGACAGGGCCTGTCCTGACATGTGGCAGAGCCGAGTACTGCCCAGCAGGATTCACTGATGCATGGGAGTCTGGGTGGAGCAGGCCACAGCTCCGGCTGCTGCCACCAAGTGGTCTCAGGTCTTCCTGGAGTCTCCAAAGGTAGCACTTGGCTTACTGCTGATCACAGGCTGGCTGCCTTGACTGATCATGGCCGCCTTCTCCTCCTCCAAGCTCTGAACGCCCCACAACTCAGCGATCACGCTTTCATATACTGTACTCTGGCTATGCATTTGCGGACAAAGAATTCCCCAGCTGGTTCTGGGCCTCGTACAGTGAGAAGCCACAGCCCTGTGGGTTTGGTGCCATGGCTGGGATCCGTACAGTGCATATGAGCTCAGACAGAAGTCACCTGCCTTATGCCACAGCCTTCACCAACACCCTGGGTGTCCTCAGTTCTGGACTCACTGAGGCTTCCCTGGAGGCTAGGCTGGAGTGGTACTTGCTCCGTCCATGACCTTGGGCTATGCACCCTAACAGAGGCAGAGGTACTTCTTTCTTGTTGTATGTGACCTCTTAAAGAGAGGAGAGAAGGGTCATGTGTTTCCTTTTTTTTTTTTCCCCTCCAAATTTAATCCTGGCGTGATTCTCAGAACTGAACGCAGTTCCTCCGGAATATCAGTCAGTGCTCTTAACCACTGAGCCATTTTTCCCCTCGCAGCATCCGGATAGCTCCATCAGTAGAGCATGCGACTCTTAATCTCAGGGTCGTGGGTTCATGCCCCATGTCGGGCACCACTTGTTAAGATCAACCACGTGAGCCTATTTAGTGGGTAGTAGGGATTTATTAAGATATAAATTCACATGAGTCTATCTAACGGGTAATAGGGATTTATTACGATATGAATTGAGGAACTACACTCACGAATACAGAACCGAGTAAACAGCCAAAGTCATTCTCACGCCAGGAAGTAGGAAGCAGGCAGAAGGGACCTCATGACCCCTCTCCCTTTCCTTTTAAGAGGTCACCTACGGCAAGAAGCACCGCCTCCTTCGGGCCAGACAGTCCGAGGCCGTGGGCGGAGCAGATACCACAACACTAGGCGCGTCTCACGGTCAATATGTGGCAACGTTGAGGAGGAAGGCATGAATGACCTGCACCCCCCAGGCCTGGCTGCACCGTCTTCAGTATGTGTGCTGGTGTGTGACTGGATTGTAGGTGTCCCCATCGCTGGGACTCCGGAAGGCCTGGCGGCGGTTGCCCGACAGTGTGATTCACAGCTTGTGCACCAGCATACCACCCAGTTTTTAAGGTCCTAGACACCAGGAGGTAGCTGTGCAGTGAGGGTGGGGGTGAGATGTGGAGCTTTAGGAGTCCTCTGCCGCCCATAGTTCCAGCCTGGCTCTGGAACTTTCCTGGGAAGAACTCTCGAGGAAAGGGTAAAAAGGATCCCCAGCGCACCAGTTACTCAGGTTCCCACCTGAATCCCCCCCCCCCCCCAAGTTGTTCTGAGGTTCTGGGAGCTGCAGCCAGGCCACAGCGGGGAGTGAGCTCCCCCTGCTGGCCTACACTGCACCATGCAGGCTCAGGCTACAGACCATCAGGCAGTGTGAGCTGTAAGTCCCGGTGGCTTCCGCACCATCCAGGGCTCTCACCCATTTGAGAGCATTAAGCAGCTGCCAGAAACGATAAGCGCAACAGGGAGCTGGAGTGTGAACACAAAAACATCCAGGACCTCTGTGTGGCAGGCACTGCAGAGCCCTGGGCCCACAGTAACGCTACCTCACGGTCCTCTGGTATGTGTCCATGCCCATGCAATAAGGATTTGCAGGGTGGCTGCCCGACCTTAGATATATATGTGTTCCTCCCTGGGGGTTGGCTTTACCTCATGGCTAGCAACTAAATGGTTGCTTTTACTAAAAAGTATGTATCCTTAAGCTGGGCGGTGGTGGCGCACGCCTTTAATCCCAGCACTCGGGAGGCAGAGCCAGGCGGATCTCTGTGAGTTCGAGGTCAGCCTGGGCTACCAAGTGAGCTCCAGGAAAGACGCAAAGCTACACAGAGAAACCCTGTCTCGAAAAAAGAAAAAAAAAAAGTCTTTTAAGGAGCAGACACAAAATCCTTAACTCATAAAATTCTAGGCGGATTTCAGACCTGAGAGCAGAACTCTGGGCCACCGTCCTGGGTACCATGGTGTGGGGGAGCAAATGAGTTTTCCTTTGCCCTCTTAGGTCCTTGCTTCAAGGTCTGCAAAGCACCAGCATGGACGCGCATGCCCACGCTTTTTGTACACACCCCAGCATGCTTATCCACAGGGCGTGGGCATCCCTGTTTCGGGACAAAGCAGCACCAGCGTGGCATGTGGAAGTGTCACAGGGGACCTTTCAGTCACCCTGCTCTGGCATGCAGTCCTTGGTGCAGGGCAGAGCAGGCTGCACTGGAACCCCACGTGTCCCCCGGATGCTGCCTCTCCCTCATCACTCCTTCCCTTTTTTTCTGCTGCGGTCTCTGACTACCTGGGTGCACTGAGCTCACGCAATCTGAGGTCAGGTCAGACGACCAGCAGCCACAAAGGGTCCCACAGAGCAGACCCGCTCTCAGAACACAGCGGACCCAGAACTCTCGGCTCACATTCCACCTAGGTTCCACTAAGAGTTGGTCTAAGGAGCGATCAGATGAAAAACGGCACTGTTGTGGAACGCCACCTAAAGAAAGATGTGTGGCTTACATTATTCTTATGATTTGGTCCCTTGCTGTCACAGAGCTGGGTGCTCATCACTTTCCTCTTGTTTGGGTTGCCTGGAGTTGTGGAACCAACCTGCAGCAGGCTGATCCCTTGTGGTACTGGAGGGCTCGGGTTCATTCGACCTTATTCTAAGACCTCACCAGGTCGGGAGCCCTTCCACAAGAGGCCAAAGGGTAAATAAACCTGTGAACACACCGCTCCTTTTTTTTTTTTTTTTAAATTCTCTGTTCCCTTAGCTTCTGTGACTTCAGTCACCCGGCTTCACCCTTCTGCCTGGATGGCAGACTCAACTGCTGCCGGCCTGCTGGTGTCTCCAGGATTCCCTCCTCGGCTCTTCTCCCGGCTACTGACTGGGTAGCTTCATCCACTCCCAGCTCTAACATGACTTCCAAGCTGACGTCTACAGACCTGAGTCTCAGGCCCGGCCCACTCCAATGCTGGGCTTCTTGTGTCCACCCAGTGGGTGAATACAGCACTCAGCACAGTCCCTAACCACCACAGTCCTCACCAACGTTGCTGATCTCAGCCAATGGAAGCCGCACACTGTAAGCACCTCCCTCTCTCCTTGCCTCACCTACTGTTCCTGCCTGGTGGCGGCTTACTGTGCTGTCCCCAGAACCAGGTTCCCTGTCCCCTGATCTCGATGCCTTGCTGTTACTAGACTCGCTGGTTAAAGCCAGATGTCACTTCCCTGCTTAAAACGACTTGTCTAGCAGACAAGTCCAGGTACAACTGTGTCCTGCATGTCATCATCCACCCTGTGTCTTCCCGTGTCATCCCAAGACCATACTCAACGGCTCAGAGACTCCCAGTTCCCTGCCCCTTCCCAGCCCCTGCGCCTCCTTTCTGGGACACTCTTCCCTCTTCCTCTGCTGTTTAGCACCCCCACCCCACCCCCAAGAAAGAGTTTCCTCTGTGTAGCCTGGCTTGTCCTGGAACTCGCTCTGGAGACGGGGCTGGCCTTGAACTCAGAGATCGGCTTGCCTCTGCCTCTGAGTGCTGGGATTAAATGTGTGCGCCACCATTGCCTGGCAACACCATCTATCCTTTAAAAATGCTGTCCTGCCGGGTGGTGGTGGTGGTGGTGGCGGCGGCGGCGGCGGCGGCGGCGGCGGCGGCGCACACCTTTAATCCCAGCACTTGGGAGGCAGAGCCAGGCGGATCTCTGTGAGTTCGAGGCC